CAGCAGTGCTAGCAGTGCGGTAGCGAGACTCTAGGGCTCGCAGGTGAGTGGCAAGGTCAGCAACAGTAGGGAAGGAAGCAAGGTTTGGGAAAAGCATAGGGAAGAGAAGGCGGCCTGCAGTAGCGGAGGCAGGCGTGGAATAGTGAGCAACAACAGCATCTAAGTAAGCCTTGGCTATATCAACTGTAGCGAAACACGAACGATCAGACACAGGGAGGGCGTGACTGATAGCGACCTGAGCAACTGCATCGCGAGAGTCCCAGACGGCACAGGCAAGTGCAGTAGCTGAGAAAGTCTCATGCTCAGCAGAGGTGGGATCAGCATGGGAAGGAGCAGGCTCAGGGGGCCGGGGGAGCAAGCCATCAGCATGGACAACCAAGGAGTGCCCGTCCTGGCGCTGACCTGTGAGTTGACGGCGGAGGTCGGACAGCCAGGCGGCGAAGTCAACCGCGTGGCCCTCAGCGTCCAGGCGGAGGACAAAGTCAGCCATCGTGCAGGGTCAGGGACACAGGGACACAGCGGCACAGCTCCACAGGACACATCGGCACAGCTCTACAGGGCACAGTGGCACAGGGACACAGCATCACAGCTCCAGGAGGACGGCTGCAAGGCGCTTCAACGAGGGCAAGCAGAAGACCGGGGCGGGAGAGTCGAGGAACCGTGCCGGGCAGAAGACTCGGGGCCGCAGGAGCCGGGCGTGCACTGGGAGCTGCGGGCCGCAGGATCCGGGCAGACGTGTCAGGGCCGGGCTGGCGCTAGTAGGGGCCGAGCATGCGCTAGGAGGGGACGGGCGGGCGCTAGGAGGGGCCGGCCGGGCGAGCGCTTGGAGGGGGACCTGAGGGTCTCAGCATCGTCTGCCCAAGAAGCGTCTATGTGTCCAGTAAGGACCACTGGCATGCGTCCTCCTAGCACTAGCCCCATGCGTGATGTACTTGCAAGATAACGCAAAACCCTCTTAGCGGCCGACGAGTGCTGTGGTCGGTGTCTGCCTGTGACCACAAAGCGAGCCAGGATGCTGAGAGGGTATGCGAGATCTGGGCGAGTGCAAGTCATCAGGTACATGAGCCAACCCACCAACTCTGTGTAAGGACCACCGGGCTCTACTGAATACTCAGGAACAGGAGCTAAGAGCCTGTGGTCTACTGGCAACAGTGTGGGCTGCGCGGAGGAGAACTGAAGACCGAACCGCTGAAGGATCTGGTTCACCAAGTGTGACTATGAGAGAGGAATGGTGCGCGCTGCTTTGTCCCTGGAGATCTGCAGGCCAAGATAGTGGCGCAGTTCTCCTAGGTCAGTGCAGGTGTGTCTCTGTCTGTAGCTCAGCCTTCACGGAGGCCAGTGTGTCCCTGTTAGCAGTAGCAAAGACCAGGTCGGCTACATAAACAAGGATGTAGAAGGGGGTTTGGCCAGTACGAACGAAGAGCGAGGGGCCAGCAGAGGACGGAAAGAACTGCAGGTCAGCTAGAGCAGCACGCAACGTGTCGTGCCACTCACGGGGCGCCTACCGCAGGCCGTAGACTGGGCGCCGCAGTAGCCACTAGGTCCCAGGAGGGAAGGTACCAGTAAAGCCCTGAGGGCGGCGCGGGTAGACCTGCTCGTGTAGGCTGCCCTGAAGAAACGCAGTGGAGAAGTCGAGGGAGTGTAACTCGTAGTAACGCTGTGCAGCTACGTGTAGCAGTGCCCGAAGAGTAGTCATCTTTGGAGTCGGTGCGAAGGTCTGAAAGAAGTCCACCCCCTCACGCTGACTGAAGCCTCTAGCCACATAGCGTGCCTTGAACACAGGCAGCTCTCCAGGGGGGCGCTTCACCTTGAAGAGCCACCGGCCATCGACTACGTTCACCCCAGGTCGGGGAACTGTGCCAACGTAGGTACCGGTGGATCTCCAAGATGCCATCTCCTGCTCCATGGCAGCTATCCACTGATAGGCCCAGGGTCCCGAAACCGCCTCAGCGTAAGTACGAGGGGTCGGGATGTCGAAAGCGTCTGGGTCACCCTCAGGGACTAGCAGCATGGAACAGAGATGGGGAGCAGCCTCGGACAGGAAAGCAAGCTCGAACTGGCGGTCCTCCAGGACGTCACTGCCGAGGGCAGGAGCACCCCCGACAGACGGAGGACAGGCAGGGTCAGAGACCAGAGCGGTGGCGTAGTCAAGGCGGCGGGTAGAGGCGAAGTCAGCGACCGCAGCGACAAGGGCGTCAAGACTCGAAACCGGAATAGACGGGTCGGTAACAAGAGAGGCAAGGACCCGAGGAACAAGAGGACAAGCGGTACAAAGGTAGTCAGACAGAGGGGGAGGCGCGACAACAAGTGAGGACGGAGGAGGCAACAGCAAGAGGGGAGGACGAGTCACGTGGGAACGAAGCAATATAGGATGAGAGCGTCGCACAGGAGAGACCGGACAAGCACGAGAGGGACGCCGAGACCAGACGTGAGACGGGGGCATCTGGTTAGGAGACAGAGGAGGAGACACAGGAGGGGAACGAGGCGGAAGAGGAGCCGGAGACGAGTCCGGAGGAGGGAAGACAGGGCCGTAGATAGGAAGAGGAGGAGATGGTAGGAGAGCCGCATACACGCAGTCAGGGGAGGGAAGGCCGAGCAGGCGAAGTGCTGACACCGGTGGCGACTGCTGCTGCTGCGGCGGCACGACGCCGACACCTGAACCACCTGCTGTGCCATGGCAACCTCCGAAACAATCCACTCCCGCACCCCCAGAAGAAAAACCCCCAGAACTAGGAACTCTCTCAACACCGGAACCACCCCCAGAACCAGGAAATCTCACAGCACAGGAACCACCCACAATCGCGCCGGGACAAGCCACGACAGGAACCCCAGGACTAGCACCCTCCTCAACGCCAGCACCCCTAGAGGACACGAATTGCTGCTGCTGCGGCGACAACGGCGTCTGCTGCTGTAGTTGCTGCGACGACGTCTACGACTGCAACGGCGGAGGAGGAGACACTGGGGAGAGGGCAGGCGGCGAGGACTACGCCGCAGGGCCACTAGAGTCAACAGACTCCTCAACCGGGACAACTGACGGGAGGGGGGTGACGTGAGACACACCAGACGGGGCAGGGCAGGGAGGTGGGGGAGCAGGGGCGACAGGGGGAGGGGGAACCAGGAACAGGGGGGGAGTAACTGGGGGACCACGGTGGGGAAAGAGGTGGTAGAAGGAGAGAGGGAGAGAGAGAGAGAGAGAGAGAGAGAGAGAGAGAGAGAGAGAGAGAGAGAGAGAGAGAGAGAGAGAGTGAGAGAGAGAGAAAGAGAGAGAGAGTGAAAGAAACGGTGAGACGGTGGGTGGTAGAAGTGCCTGTCAGACGAGTCGAGGGGGAAACCTAGGAAGACGCAGGGGACGGTGCGGGTAGTGAGCTTTTCCGTGCCAGAGGCACGAACGTGAGCAAGGCAGCCCCAGACGTGGAACACAGACGCAGCACCAGGAGATCCAGTCCAAAGGAGGGTTGACGAAACCTGCGGCCGCTAAGGTGCGGACGGCGAACGGCCACAGAAAATGGGGTGCACCGGCATGGACCATGGAGGTATGAGCCACCTCCATGACCAAACCGATGCGTCACTCAGCAACCCCATTCTGCTGCGGGGAGTCCGGAAAGGTGAACGTTTGGGTGATGCCATGCGCACGACAGAAACGAGCAAGGCAACCGGAGGCGAACTCGCCACCACGGTTAGAGTGAAGACGCAACACAGGAAGACCTCGGTGCACACGCGCAGAGACCAGCCACGGGATAAGAATGTCAGGCACGTCGGCCTTCCACTCCAGGGGAAACACGGTGGTGTAACGAGTGTAGTCGGCAACAAGGATGAGGAAGTAACGCTCACGACGTGGCCCGTGGACGGGGGCGGGGCCCCAGGCGTCCATGTGCAAGGTCTGCAAGGGTGCCGTAGTGGGGGGGAATGAGGAGGAGTGAGGGGCACGGCAGAGCCGGCCCTCGACGCATGGGGGTGCATGGCGGGGCGGGCGAAGGAGGGGAGCTCAGGGAACGACCCAGGGAGACCTAAAACAAGATCGTGCTGAGACATGTGACAAAGACGAGGGAGGGCAGGGTGACCTAGGTGGTGGTGCCACAGTAGGGTCGGGTGAGTAAGCGACCGACACGAGCAAGCCGCAACTACCTGAGGAGACACAGTCACCTAGGGAGACGTCCTAACTGGGGGGGCGCGGTGTCCAGCGTGAACAGGCCGGACACCGGGTCCCGGGGGAACGTGGTGAGGGGAGCACCACTGGTGGCCTCGGTACAGACATCGTACCGCTCGTGACCAGGGAACGTAGTGGTGATGCCAAGGTCCTGGAGGCAGCCGATACCAACTAGGTTCTTAGAGAACGAGGGGATGTGCAGGCCTGTAAGTGAGCCCAAAGGAGCGGCCGGACAAGGAAGGGTAGTGGAGTCACGAGCGACGACAGGCCCTGAAGAAGGGTCAGCCAGAGAAACTGTGGCGGGAGCAGCAAGCGGTGTAAGAGTAGTGGAGTCCCAGGAGAAGCACCGAGAAGCACCGGAGTCAAGGGTGAAGGAGAGCGCGGCAGTGGCGGCAGGGGCCGAAGAAGCGAGAGAGGAGCCTAGGCTAAACAAAGCAGGGGATCCTACGCCTGGCGCAGTAGGGGAGTCTGAGCTAGGCACAACTACACAAGGCAACGCGGGATAAGCGGGACAAATCAGACTAGATTCATCGATATACAGCACATACAACACAGAACTGATCTCATCCATGTCCATATCAAAGATCTGAACACCACGACGGAGCAAGCTGAGCCAGTCGGGGAGGTCCGGCGACGGGCCGAAGCGAAGACGAAACAGGTCTTCCAGGCGGCTGAAACAGCGGGTGGGGGTGTGACCGATCTTACCGCACACGAGACTACGGCGAGGACTGGTTTGGAGCTGGTACTGGCAGCGTCCGTCGCCCAAACCACCACCCGACGTCACGCCGCGCGCACGACCACTGCGACCGCCACCACCACCAGCGCCAGGCCACCCCAGCGGGAGACGACCAACCTGCCGCTGCTGCTGCTGCTGCTGCTGCTGCTGCTGCTGCTGCTGCTGCTGCTGCGACGGCTGCTGCTGCTGCTGCGGCGGCTGCTGATCCAGCGGTGGAACCTGCTGCTGCTACTGGGACTGCTGCTCGGCGTTGCCAGGCCCAGCACCCTCGTCAGCACCCCCAGCTCCACCACCTCCTCCACCCGCACCTCCTCCACTACCACCGCCGCGCCCAGCCTTGGGGCGGCGGCCCTTTCCCGGACGAAACAGCGCTGAGTGGGCGCACAGCCCTGAAAGATAGAGACCAGCACAGTAGCGCTGGACTGGGCGATAGAGCGCTGACGGGTCTCTATGGCAGACAGGGTGTCGACAAAGTCAGTGAGGGTGAGGTCAGCAAGGTGGAGACTAAAAAAATGATCGCGTGCAGTAGCAAGGCGGTCAGAGAGGCGGGTGGCAAGCAGGTAGAGGGTAGCGCAGGGTGGGGGCTAGAACACGCGAAGCTGGGCCTTAGTGCAAGCAGAGCGCCAGGTCGAGTCTAGCGAGCGCAAGTGGGCGGCAAGGTCAGCAACTGTGGGGAAAGACACGAGATCAGGGGAAAAGCAGGGGCAGGATCAGGCGACCGACGGAGGCAGAGGACGGGGTGGAATTTTGCGCAATAACAGCCTCTAGGAACTCCTGCGTGGTCCTGACCGACCTAAAGCGGGGACGCTCAGACAGAGGAAGGGCATGACTGATTGCGAGCTGTACGACAGCGTCACGGGACGACCAGACTGCACGGGCAAGGGCGGCAGCGGCAGCGAACTCACGATCAGCAGACGTGGGGTCAGCGCAGTGCGGGGCAGTGCAAGGCAGTGCAGTGTGGGGCAGTGCGGTACAGTGGTGCGGTGCTGTGCGGGGCAGGGCGGCACAGCGCGGTGGAGTGCGGTGCAGCGCGGTGCAGGGGCCGGCAGCACGTCAGAGACAGCTGGGTGAGGAGGCCGGGCGTGCAGAATGGGGCCGGTGCAGGCCGGTCACGAGACGGGCGTGGGGCCGGTGACGGATCGGGAACAGGCTGGCGACGGGACAGGCGTTGGGCAGGCGACGGGATGGGCGCGGGGCCGGCTACTAGACGGGCGCGGGGCCGGCTACGGGACGGGCGCGGGGCCAGCGACGGGACGGGCGCGGGGCCGGCTACTGGATGGGCGCGGGGCCGGCTACGGGACGGGCGCGGGGCCGGCTACGTAACGGGCGCGGGCCGGCGACGGGACGGACGTGGGGCCGGCTACGAGACGGGCGCGGGGCTGGTTACGGGACGGGCGCGGGGCCGGCTACGGGACGGGCGCGGGCCGGCGACAGGACGGGCGCGGGCCCGGTTACGGAACGGGCGCGGGCCGGCTACGGGATGGGCGTGGGGCCGCCTACGGGACGGGCGCGGGGCCGTCTACGTAACGGGCGCGAGCTGGCGACGGGACGGGCGCGGGGCCGGCTACGGGACGAGCGCGGGCCGGCGACGGGACGGGCGCGGGTTTGGCTACGGGACGGGCGCGGGCCGGCTATGGGACAGGCGTGGGCCGGCGACGCGACGGGCGTGGGTTTGGCTACGGGACGGGCGCGGGCTGGCTACGGGACACGCGCGGGCCGGCTACGGGACGGGCGCGGGGCCGGCTATGGAATGGGCGCGGGCCGACAACGGGACGAGCGCGGGGCCGGCTACGGGACGGGTGCGGGCCGGCGACGGGACGGGCGTGGGGCCGGCTACGGGACGGGCGCGGGCCGACTACGGGACGGGCGCGGGCCGGCTACAGGACGGGCGCGGGCCGGCTAGGACCTAGGGCGGAAGCGCTGGTGGGCGAGCGGGACCTAACCTACTCATGATACCATGTAAGAATACTAGGATGAGTAGAATGAGTTAGTATAGGGGAATATGACCTAGTGAGTTGTACCCTCTAAGGCACAAACCTATATAGTCTACAATAACATGCTAAGATATGTTTGACAAGGCACTCGCTTTATCGAGGCCGAACAGTCATTAAAAGTAATCCCCGATGTGACTGTAAGTCTTCAGCCTTGTGACGAGCATAATGATTACGCCGGCCTGACGAGGTCTTCAGGTCAAACTGCGATCAAAGGTTAGAAAGCGTCGAAACGATTGTGGTAGATCCTGATTGTTGAATCTTGATGGGCGCACTGATGACGAGACTTCATGAGGTATAACTCCATCCAACGGCTAAGACATGTCACAGCGATCGTAATCGATCAGAGTCGTTGAAGATAATTGACTTCTTTAGCTGACCGAACGGGTACTAGCGAAAACTCCTCTTGGACAGTTAACAGTAACGCTGTTGATTGATGATGGCGCGTGCATGATGAATATCCCGAGTAATGATGAACTGTCGAATGGCGTGGGTTGTCAAATGACGAGGACCTGTCATCAAACGCGAGGTCGTTCGAGTCACATGCGAGAGCACGCGTCCGTGTCCCACGAAAGTCAGCAAACTCCATCAACGAAGTGACGAATCAGGCGCGGAAGCGAAACGCTGACTAATGTTGCTCGAAGATGGATGATGGAACACGCCGGAAGGGTCAGACAAAAAATTGCAGCACAGCTGCACTTGTCCCCCCTCCAAGAAGAAACAGCTCCCAATTTCCCAGATAAAACACCAAGAAACCCAACACTCCAGGGCAGTGGAAAGACCCGTACTGCTGCCCAAAATCTAACAACTCTGCTTCGAAGATGCCATTGAAATATATCCCAGCGACTAAACTCGAACCATGATGATGCTAAAATCAGCTCCAAGTAAATATTTTCGTCAGGGTAAACCGCTTTGAAGATCTTGAAATGCCGCAGCCACTGCTCAAGAAGACTCCCACACGAACTGGAAAACTCTAATGGAGGAAAACATTGTATGCGAGCTTGCAACAACACAGCTCCAACAGTTGCACATGCTTCCAACTGCCAAATCCTCTTAACTTGATTTTGCTCCTTACGGGTGGCGAGGATGCGGCGGGGTTGTGTTCACACTGTCAGGCGAATCAGGCGAATTGACGATGGAGGTGGTAGGGGTGGTGGCGAGAGGTTGGCGACGATGACGATGGAACGTAACCCATACGAAACCACTCCATTGGGAAAACTCCAAACAGAACTCGCGTCAAACGCCGCAAGCTGCATCAGCTACTTTGTCTGTACACGCCGAAATATTCGGGAATAGACGAAACAGCTGCTGCTCTCCGTCCGTTCCATTTGTCCATAATACTCCAGAAAATTCGGTCGATGTCGCTCGTACCCCCGATGATAGCGGATACTGCTCTAGCTGTTAGTCCATGAATCGCCCCAACAAAAATGTCGGAACTCAATCGATACTTAACCAAATTTGCAACACTGCTTCACAGCTACCCTTAAATACCCAGGCGTCACAGTGTCCTTTAGCAGCGCCCCCACAGTTACTCCACCAGCTGTACTCATGAACTGAACCCTTCATATTAGGGAACACCGGAGTTCACCGCCTCAGCATGATGTTTTGGCCGTCGATCAGGGTCAATGCACATCATACGCCATCAATCTACGCCCAGCTGTAACCCAAATTTCTTCAAAATACTTTGGTACCCCTGCCAGCTGGCCGTGCAAACGTTCACCCATCTCGCGGCTGCTGCAGGTTACCCAAAACGGTTTCGCTACTGCTTAACTAGCTAAGAGAATCCACAGAGATACTGTAGGAGTGTGCACGCTTCTAATCAGAGGAGCTTTAACGAGCTCGCCTACTAACCGCTGGACAGCTCCCTCCTCCATCGGAAACTCGCCAAACTACACCCGCAAAAGTCGGAACCTCCTACTGCTGCACCAGGTGAAACCCTCAGCTCCGCTGCAACAGTAACGCCTTAAATTTCATGGACACTCCATCAGCACAGTGTAGTTCGCAGGTTCACCCGCCTTTTTCAACCAGAAGTCATCGATTAATAAGTCGACACTGCTACCTGGTGGGGATGGTGATTTCCGGGCGACGTCGCTGAGCGAGCAGCAGCCCAAACGGCGCTAACCCTTAACTACTCTAGTACTCCTGTCGTTCTTCTACCACAGCTTCAACTCCTGGCAGTTAACGCTTAGGCAACTGGTGGAAAAACGCTTAATACACACCCGAGGGTGGTGGCCTCCGTTTCCGTTGATCGTGGGGGTATGAATCGCTGGTCCACAAAAAGTGCCTCCCCATGCGGGAAGTCTCCCTCGCTGAGTACACTTGCTCCAGCACAGCGTCATCACCTCCAGATGTCCATCATGGTGAATAGCGCCGAGGTCGTTAATCCCAGTTGCTCACACACAACTACACATCCACACGTGCCTCGTGTTATCGTGCCGTTCCGAAATTGTCGGATCCGCCCCTTGCTGAAACAGTTTTGAATTCCCGTCCATCACCTGCAACTAGCCTGCTGGAAACGCCGGTACCCCCGACGCAGCTACAGTTCACCCTGCCACTGTATGGCATACCAGACGTACATCGCTGTACGTCCCGCCATTTTCGCCACCACGCGCGCCTCTGATGACCAACTCCCGGCCGCCTAAGGACTCCTGTGCACTTGTCTTCTCCTGGCGACCAACTCCTGGCCGTCTGACGACTCCTCGCTATTTTCGGAAGCCAATCCGTACACTTCATTAGAAACTCCTGAAAATAACGAAACACTAACGAACATACCCGAAAACCACAGTAAAAACGTCGCCGTCTCTTCGACAGGAAATAATTCCGTCTACAACAGGGGAAGGGGAGGACCGGCTAATCCCAGCCGTCCATCGGACAGAATCTGACGGCAATGGCAACACCCGCGCAATTAATCTCCGCGACGTCCGCTCGCCATCAGCATCCTTCCGCCCCCTTTCCCGATAGGGTCTGCTCCCCTAATAGAAACCGAATGGGCAGGAATGTAGCTCTGATACCAGCTGTTATGAATTATAACTCAGATTATAGCGCAGAATTCTATAAGAAAAACGTGATTACTGAATGTCAACAGAAATGAGGCCTAAGGAATATATAGGGCGATTTATTAGCATAAGAAAGAATATCTAGGAAGAGATCGATCAAGGAGATATAGTCTAAGTGTTGTACCTTATAAGAGCATGCACCTAGCTAGCCTATGACATATACAAATTATATGTTGACACACCCCTATTGTGTGATGTCATCATATGCTATCACATTCTGTCTGCCTCTCATCTCTTGTTTCAATTCGTATGTATGGTTTGACTGTGTGTGAAAGAATTTGTGTGTGGTGTGTTCTGGAGTTTGGGAATGTGTTTTGTGTTATTCTGTCTGAGCAGGTATTTGTGATGATAGATCTTGAGAAGATCTTTCCGACGCAACAAGAATCGCTTCAATCGGAGCAAGAACGCGAAAGCTATGAAGATTCAAAGTTCATGAGCTTGCGTTACAATTGCGGCGGTTACAAAGTGAAGTTGTGGGGTGACTTTATATGGAGTTGGGACCTTTGGGGTTGGGGAAATTTGTCACTCTACTGTAACAGCTGCAAATTGGTTGGGAACAACCAAGCTAGGTTGGCAAGGGTGGCCAACTTGGATGGATTGGTTGGGAAGGGACAAAGGTCAAAGTTGAGGTTCCTATAGGGAGGGAATCTTTGTGCTTATGGGGTTTCCTTGGTTGGGGACTCTCTTGGGACCTTCCCTCTCGTCCCTCTCCATCTATCCCAACCTTTCTCTTGCTCCTTCTAATTCCTTGTGAGATTCTTGAACTTTGATTGAACTTTTGAGATTGAGTTAAGTTCTCCTCCTACAGCTTACCCCTCAGTGCGTCGAAAGACATAGCGTCGCGAATACTTCATCAATCGACGTGATTCAAATTGAGAACGGTAGCTAAGATTGAGAGCTACAACATATCCGAGTTTCGCGACATTCCAACGGCTAGTTTTCCGTCGACGTCGTTTCTTGTGAAGACGACTTTTCTGTCCAGAATTTCGGATTTATATTTTGAGTAATTCTAGCTCCTAAGTTCACCTAGACTCCGTCCTTAATACTAACAAGTGGTATCAGAGCGATATTAAGGACATTGAGAGGAGTCTACAGAAGTGTGAAGACCCTTTTAGACCCACCATGGCCTGTGGGTGTGCCTAAGTGGTGTTCTAAAGGTTGGATGTGTCTTCCGCTAAGGGGAAACTCTGCCGAAATTTCGTGGACGCCGACACTTGTGAAAATATCGAGGGAGCTGAGTGTGGACAGCAAAGGGGAGCTGAAATTCGTCATTTCTCAAGGAGAAGATGAATGAGAGAGGAGGAGATGCTAATGGAAGAGGAGCTGTAGCTGAGAAGACAAGTGAGCCGCCGCCATCAAAAGTTGAAGCTTTGGATGGCTCCAACTATGAGGAATGGAGCGGACGGATGAGGAGTGCCTTCAAACGCTACAAGCTACTGAAGATTGCTGTTGGGGAAGAGAAGATGCCGGAAGAAGGCGAAGCAGGTGAACGGTGGATTGAGAAAAGCGCGGTGCTTTTCGACCTCATTCTTCAATCGGTCAACAAGGAGATGTTCGAGCACATCAAGGATCTTGTGGAAGCGGATGATTCGGGTCCAAGGGCGTGGAAACTACTACGTGATGTGGTTCAGCCCAACACTCTCCCGATGGTGATCGTGCTCGAGAAGGAACTTGCTGCCATCTCCATGCGACCAGGGGACGATGTGAAGCCGGTCCTTGACAAGATCAAGGACACCTATGCAAGGATGGCAGCAGCGGGCAGCAGTGTATCTCAGCTGCAGCAGTGCACCAAGATCATCTCGGTGTTGGACAACTCTTGGGACAACCTCATCCCCACCCTCAACTCTCAGCAAGATCAATGGACACCTGAGTGGCTAAGGCAGCAGATTCTGCAGGAGGACTTCCGCAGACGCCATGTGGGAGGCGGTGCTGCCACTAAGACTGCTGAGGGGTATGGAGCTGCAGGGCGCAGCAGAGGAAGAGGGGGTTGGAGAGGCCGAGGCCGTGGGAGAAGCTTTGGCAGAGGTAGAGGCCGAGGTGACTATAATGAGGGGCATGGGAGCTCCAGTGGCAGGGGGAGTACCAGAATGGAGGGCACCTGCTGGTACTGCAAGAAGGTCGGGCATCCTTGGTTCAAGTGCTTCAGCAGGCTGGAGGGATGGTCACCTCCAGGCATGAAGCCGCCAAGTGGTGAACGCGCACAAGGTGGCGCTGTGCAAGGCTCAGGTGCACAAGGTGAAGGTGCACAAGGTAACGCCTATCCTGGGATGTATCTCATGGTTGAGGATGTGCATGGGCATGAGGGTGATGTGGGATCTGTCGGAAAGGTTGTGATGCACCCTCTCACGCACTGGATGATTGATTCGGGTTGCACCAGTCACATGACTCCACGGGCAGATTTGCTTGATGAGGTAAAACCCCCTGGGAAGATTAAGTATGTGGCAGCAGCGTCAGGTGCTTTGCTCCCCGTGATTGGTGTTGGGAATGCCAAGGTTAAGGGAGCTAATGGGGAGCTTGTGGGGCTTGGGAATGTTCTGCTGGTTGAAGGCTTGTCTGCTAACCTTCTCTCTGTGCGACGACTGCAGAAGAGCAAGGCCGAAGTGACCTTTGGACCAACCAGCTGCCGTGCTAAGCTTGGGAAGAAGGTGCTGTGGAGTCTGGAAGAGGAGACCAGCTGCATCAAGGACCTGTGGCAGCTGCCCATCATCCCATGGAATGGGAAGACTCCAACAGCAGCAACGGCAGCAGCGGCAAAGGCAACAGCAGGAGGAGATGCAACTGCACCAACTGATGGGGTCCTGGAAGCAGTCAAGAAAGTGCACCAGCAGCAGACACATGGTGAGGTGCTTGCTGGTGTGGATGCAAGTGCGGCATGGGCTAAGGCTTCACCAAGGAGTGGAGAGGCCGATTGGGAGACATGGCATGAGAGGCTGTGTCATGTGAACTTCCCTATGCTGCAGAAGTTGGTGAAGGATGGGAGCCTGAAGGGCTTGGAGGTGAAAGGGGGAGTGAAGGAGATTGGGAGCTGCCCTACATGCTTGGAGACCAAGTTCTCCAAGTTCCCCTTCAACAGCACTACAGGACCAGCCAAGACCCCACTTGCACTTGTGCATATGGATGTGGTGGGGCCCACAAGAGCCCCTTCCCTCTCAGGCAGCCGCTATTTCTTGACAATTGTGGATGACCACACTCGGGCAGTGTGGGTTTACCCTTTGAAGAGCAAGGGGGAGGTGGCAGCGGCTGTCCTTAAGGAGTGGATGCCGAGAGCTCAGAGGGAATGCGGACACAAGGTGAAGGTGATCCGTAGTGACAATGGTGGGGAGTTCATTGGAGCTGATTTTGAGGGGGAGTTGAAGAGGAAGGGGATCCAGCATCAACTGACAGTGCCCTACAACCCGCAGCAGAATGGCGTGGCTGAGAGGTTCAACAGGACCCTGCAGGAGGGGGCACGCACTCTCCTTGGGCGTGCAGGGCTGCCTGATCCGTTTTGGGTGTCTGCACTGAGGCAGGTCGCCCTTGTGAAGAACAGGGTGCTGGCTACAGTTGGAGATAAGGAGTGGATCCCATATGTCAAGTGGTATGGGAGTGCTCCAGCTGTGAATATGCTGAGGGCATTTGGGTGCATGGTAGTGTTTCATGTGCCTAAGGAGAAAAGAGGGAAGTTGGAGGCTTCTGGAAGATGGGGTGTGCACTTGGGGATTGCAAAGGATCACAAGGGATGGCTGCTATGGGACTTGACCACCCAGAAGCTGACAGTGTCAAGGGATGTGAAGTTTCTTGAGTCCCTGTACTACAAGGAATGGAAGCAGCAGCAACAGAAGCTTCCATCTACACCACTCATTGTGGAGGCAGATGAGTTGCAGCAGCCTTCAAGGCAGGTGGAGGTTGCAGTGTCTGAGGAGGAGATGTCTGGGGTGACTGAAGAAGGGGGAGCAGCTGAAGTGGAGCAGCAGCAGCAGCATGAGTCTCCACCTCGAGTTCCACACCCGCCTGAGCGTCCTAGGAGGGATGTGCGCCCTCCAGTGAGGCTGACCTATGGGGGAAGAGGCAAGCCAAATGTGGTGCAGGCTGGGAGTGTGGTTGAGCAGATTGAGGAAGATGAGATCGCTCACTGCTACTGGGCACCAATCCCTGAGCCCAAGACTCGAGAGGAGGCTTTGAATGGACCAAATGGGGAGAAGTGGAAGGCGAGTGAGGATGAGGAGTTCGGGTCCCTGATTGAAAACGAGACATGGGACCTGTGTGACTTGCCTCCTGGGAAGAAGGCAATCACTTCCAAGATGATCTACAGGCACAAGTATGAACCTGAAGGGGAGCTGACCCGCTACAAGTCTAGGCTTGTGGCACGGGGGTTTCAGCAGACAAAGGGGAAGGACTATGATGAGGTGTTTGCTCCTGTGGGGAAAGGAACAACACTGAGGGTGCTGTTGGCGATAGCTGCACTCCTGGGATGGAAGATACGGCAGATGGACATTGTGACTGCCTTTCTGAATGGGATCATTCTGGAGGAGGTGTACATGAAGCAGCCAGAGGGGCTGGATGATGGGAGCGGCAGGGTCTGCAGGCTGAAGAAGGCCATCTATGGCCTTAAGCAGGCGCCTCGTGCATGGTATCACAAGTTGGAGGAGGCGCTGCTGGCTGGGGGTTTCAAGAAGAGTGAGTGTGACCCCAGCCTGTTCCTGCTGCAGGAGAAGGATGAAATCCTCATGCTCTTGGTGTACGTGGATGATATCCTTCTCTTTTCTGCATCAACTGCTTTGCTGGACAGCGCAGAGCAGATGCTAGAGATGCAGTTCAAGTGTTCCAAGATGGGTGAGGTGAAGTACTACTTGGGGATGCATGTGGAGAGAGATGTGGAGAAAGGTGTGCTGAGGTTGCACCAGAGGAAGTACTGTGAGGGGCTGGCTGAAAAGTATGGGCTGCAAGATGGGGGAAAGCCAGCAACACCACTACCTTCGGGGTTCACTGTTGAGCCATGTGCTGATGAGGAGGTAGTGGGTGATAGTGACAGGAAGCTGTTTCATTCGATGGTTGGGTCGCTGAATTATGCTGCAAATCATACACGGCCTGACATTGCATTTGCTACATCACGACTGGCTAGCGTGGTTTCACGTCCTAGTCATGAGCAGCTGGAAGCGGCCAAGAGGTTGGTCCGCTATGTGAGTGCTACGGCATCAGTGGGATTGGAGTACAGTGGAGTGAGGCAGCGGTTGCAGAGAGGTGCCGCAGATGTGAAGAGTGGTGAAATGCTCTTGAGTTGCTATACTGACGCTAGCTTCAACTCAGTGAAAGCGGATGGCACCAGCATTGGGGGTTATGTGTGCTTGCTAGGAGGTGGTGCTGTGAGCTGGCGCAGCAAGAAGCAAAATGAGGTGGGATTGTCTTCATGTGAGACTGAGTACATGGCCTTACACCATGGGGCCAAGGAAGTGGTATGGCTGAGGCGTTTGTTGGAGGAGTTGGGAGTTGGTCAGGAGGAGCCGACAGTTGTGTTCTGTGACAATGAGTCTGCAGTGAAGCTGGCCAAGAATGCTTGTCTGCATGGGCTGACAAAACACATAAGGCCTAAGTGGCATTGGGTGAGGAGAATCCTTGATAAGGAGGTGCGGCTGGAGATAGTGAAGACCCATCAGCAGGCAGCAGATATTTTCACTAAGCGTCTGGCGGAGGCGGATCATTGGAAGGGCATGAAGCTTGCTGGGATGAGTGTGCATTGAGTATGCATGCTTGAGATGTGGTATGGTGGATGATGGTTGGCAGCCAGAGGGGGAGATTATTGTGTGATGTCATCATATGCTATCACATTCTGTCTGCCTCTCATCTCTTGTTTCAATTCGTATGTATGGTTTGACTGTGTGTGAAAGAATTTGTGTGTGGTGTGTTCTGGAGTTTGGGAATGTGTTTTGTGTTATTCTGTCTGAGCAGGTATTTGTGATGATAGATCTTGAGAAGATCTTTCCGACGCAACAAGAATCGCTTCAATCGGAGCAAGAACGCGAAAGCTATGAAGATTCAAAGTTCATGAGCTTGCGTTACAATTGCGGCGGTTACAAAGTGAAGTTGTGGGGTGACTTTATATGGAGTTGGGACCTTTGGGGTTGGGGAAATTTGTCACTCTACTGTAACAGCTGCAAATTGGTTGGGAACAACCAAGCTAGGTTGGCAAGGGTGGCCAACTTGGATGGATTGGTTGGGAAGGGACAAAGGTCAAAGTTGAGGTTCCTATAGGGAGGGAATCTTTGTGCTTATGGGGTTTCCTTGGTTGGGGACTCTCTTGGGACCTTTCCTCTCGTCCCTCTCCATCTATCCCAACCTTTCTCTTGCTCCTTCTAATTCCTTGTGAGATTCTTGAACTTTGATTGAACTTTTGAGATTGAGTTAAGTTCTCCTCCTACAGCTTACCCCTCAGTGCGTCGAAAGACATAGCGTCGCGAATACTTCATCAATCGACGTGATTCAAATTGAGAACGGTAGCTAAGATTGAGAGCTACAACATATCCGAGTTTCGCGACATTCCAACAGCTAGTTTTCCGTCGACGTCGTTTCTTGTGAAGACGACTTTTCTGTCCAGAATTTCGGATTTATATTTTGAGTAATTCTAGCTCCTAAGTTCACCTAGACTCCGTCCTTAATACTAACAACCCCCTAGGCTACACAAGGGGCAGCGACCAGCAAGAGACACACAGCTCACGATGGCACTACTAGTCCAACCTCCGAGGCAGGGGTCTGAAGACCAGTCAACAAGAGTACAAGCAAAGCAAGTGGAATCCAAGGCGACACTACTAGTCCAGTCAGGCGCCACAGGACCGGGGCAGAGCTAGGCCGCTCACCCAAGTCTGTGAGCAAAAAAGTCAGCCAGCGGAGCTCCTGTGCTGCCATGGCACCAGCATAGATCTCGGCCTCACAGCTTGACTGGGCAACAGACGACCAGCGGGTGAGCCTCCACGAGATGGCACCTGCACCAAGGCAAAAGCAGTAGCCCTGGGAGGACCTGAGCGTCTCAGCGTCATTCGCCCACAAAGCGTCCTGGTTTCCTGTAAGGACCACTGGCCTGTGTCCTCCTAGCACTAGCCCCATGCCCGATGTACTAGCTAGATAACGTAAGACCTCTTAGCGGCCGACCAGTGCTGTGGTCAGTGTCTTCCTGTGGCCACAAAGCGAGCCAGGATGCTGAGAGCGTATGCAAGATCTGGACAAGTGCAAGTCATCAAGTACATGAGGCAACTCACCAGCTCTGCGTAAGGACCACTAGGCTCAGCAGACTCCTCATGGTCTGGAGCTGACAGTCTGTGATCTACTGGCAGAGGTGTGGACTGTGCAGAGGAGAACTGAAGGCCGAACCTCTGAAGGACCTGACGCACCAAGTGTGACAGTGTGAGAGTGATGGTGCTCGCTGCTCTGTCCCTGGAGATCTGCAGGCCAAGGTAGCGACTCAGCTCTCCTAGGTCAGTGCAAGTGTGTCTCCTCAGCAGCTCAGCCTTCACCGAGGCCAGTGCATCTCTGTCTACTATAGCAAAGACCAGGTCGTCTTCGTAGACAAGGATATAGAACGGGGTCTGGCCAGCACGAACGAAGAGAGAAGGGTCTGCAGACGACGGAAAGAACTGCAGGTCCGCCAACGTAGCACGCAACGTGTCGTGCCAGTCGCGCTCCGAGTGTTAGCCAGCGTGTCGTGCCACCTGCGGCACATTCAAGGGAGGGAGGACAGGGAGAGACGCATGGAGACCTAGGACAAGACTGTGCTGGAACATATGACGTAGACGCGTGGGTGCAGGGTGACCTAGGCGGTGGTGCCACAACAGCGACGGGTGAGTGAGCGATCAACACGAGCAAGCTGCAGCGATCTGGGGGGACGCCCTCACCTGGGGGGAAGCAACGTCAAGTGTAGACAGGCCGGACACAGGGTCCCGGAGGAACGTGGTCAGAGGGGCACCAGTGGCGGCCTCAGTACAGACCGCGTACCGCTCGTGTCCGGGAAACGTAGTGGTGACGCCGAGGTCCTGCAGGCAGCCGACACCCACTAGGTTCCTGGAGAACGAGGGGATGTGCAGGCCCGTAAGTGAGCCCGAGGGAACCGCCAGACAGGGAAGGGTGGTGGAGCTACAAGCAACTACCAGACCTGAAGTGGGGTCTGCAAGCGCGATAGCTGCAGGGGCGGCAAGCGGCGTAAGCTCAGTGTGATCGCGGAAGTAGCAGGCAGACGCACCGGAGTCAAGTGTGAACAAGAGCGAAGCCGTAGCGGGTGGTGGCGGAGGTGCTAGCGTGGAGCCTAGGCTAATTAAGGCTGAAGATCCTACGCCTGACGTAGCAGGGGAGCCTAGGCTACTCACAGGAGGCACACCTACACTAGGCAACACAGGGTAATAAGATCCAGTCATACCAGAGTCAGGAGCATACCATGAAAGACAGAGGACAACTGATCCATATCCATCGCAAATACAGGCACACGATGGCACACCAGACAGGGCCAGTCGGGAAGGTCCGCCGCAGGGCCGAAGCGAAGACGAAAGAGATCGTCGAGGCGGCGTAAGCAGCGGGCGGTAGAGTGACCGATATGACCACACACAGTGCCGCGGAAGGGGCCGGTCTGGAGCTGGTACTGGCAAGTCATAGCACCGAAACTGCCACCCGACGCCGAGTTGCGAGAGCCGCCACCGCGACCACCACCACCAGAAGCAGCGGGTCACCCCTGCGGAAGGCGGCCCCACTACTGCTGCTGCTGCTGCGGTTGCGGCTGCTGCTGCTGCTGTTGCGGTTGCGGCTGCTGCTGCTGCTCCAGGGCACCGGGCCCGGTCTCCTCGTTGGAACCATCGTCACCCCCCCCCCACCTCCACCATCCCCACCCCCCTTCCCTCCGCCATGCCCCCCTTTAGGGCAGCGGCCCTTACCCTGATGCGGTTGCACTGAGGCCGCAGCAGCAGTCTCAGCAACAAGGGCTGTCTCAGCGACACCTGCAGAGACGTCAGAGTAAGTGCACTGGGAGGGAGCACAGCCCTGAAAGATAGGGACCGCCGCAGTACCGCTCGACTGAGCGATAGTGCGCTGGCGAGTCTCTATCTCGGACAGGGTGGTGACAAAGGCGGTAAGGGTGAGGTCACTTGGGTGCTGACTAAGGAGGTGGTCATGGGCAGTGGCAAGGCAGTCTGGGAGGCGCGTGGCAATAAGGTAGAGGGTAGCGCAGAACGGCGGTGAAAAGGCAGTGAGCTGAGCCTCAGTGCTAGCGGCGCGGTAGGTAGACTCTAGTGCGCGCAGGTGAGTGGCAAGGTCGTGACAGTGGGGAAGGACGCAAGATCAGGGAACAGCATGGGGAGGATCAGGCGGCCAGCAGAGGCAGAGGCAGGGGTGGAATAGCGGGCGATGACTACATCTAAGAATTCGTTGGCGTTCGCTACAGTTGTAAAGCGTGCACACTCAGATAGGGGAAGCGCGTGGATGATAGCAAGTTGTGCGACAGCGTCGCGCAAGTCCTAGACAGCACGAGCTAGCGCAGCAGCGGAAAAGGCCTCACACTCAGTAGTGGTAGGGGCATCAGGGAAGGCAACAGGCGCAGGGGGGCGGAGAAGCAAGCCATCGACATGCGTAGCCAGGGAGTGATCGTCCTGGCGCTGACCTATGAGGTGACGGCGGAGGTCGACGAGCCACACGTCAAAGTCGATCGCGTGACCCTCCGCTTCCAGGCAAAGCAGTGAGTCCACCATCACTGTAGTTGCCGTAGCTGACTGGCGCTGCCAGTGAGAGGAGGAAAGGCGGAGGAACGGTGGAGTGAGGTGGGGTGCGGCAGAGAGAGGGGAAGAGCGGTGGATTGAGGTGGAGGGAGGTGAAGCGAGGTGGAGATAGGTGGAGGGTAGTGGAGAGCAATGGAGAGAGGTGGAGAGCGGTGAAGAGCGGTGAAGTGGAGTGGGGGGGTGGAGTGCGGTGGAGGGAGGTGGAGTGCAGTGGAGAATGGTGATGACAGCCGGCAGGAGTGTCGGCACAGAGAGGAGCCAAGCCCGGGAGGTCGGGGGCGGCAGAGCGGCACGGCTGCGCTGGGGCGCGGCAGTCGCACGACGCGGGGCCAGGGCGAGTAGGTGCCGGTGGGGCCGGGAGCCAGTAGGCCAGGGCCAGACAGGTGCGGGGCCAGCTGGTGCGTGGCCAGCAAGCGCGGAGCTGGCGGGTGTGGGGCTGGCGGGTGCGGGGCTGGCGGGTGCGGAGCCGGCGAGGCGAACGTGGCCAGCGGGGCGCAGGGAGCCAGAGGGGCACGAAGGGCCAGCAGAACACCGAGGCTAGCGGGGAATACGGGGCGAGCTGGGTGCAAAGGGGGCCAGCAGGGTGTGACGGGGCTAGCTAGGCGCGAAGGGGCCAGCAGGGCGCGCGGGGGCCAGTGAGGTACGACGGGGCCAGCAGGGCGCTATGGGGCTGACGGGGCGTACAGGGCGAGCTAGGCACGAAGGGGCCAGCGGGGCACGACGGAGCTAGCTGGGCGTACGGGGCTAGCTAGGCGTGACGGGGCTAGCTACGCACGACGGGGCCAGCAGGGCGCGATGGGGCTAGAGGGGCGCACGGGGCGAGCTGGGCGCGAAGGGGCCAGCGGGGCGCTAGGGGCGGGGCAGCTAGGTACTAAGGCGGAACGGGGCACTAGGTGCTAGGGCGGAAGCGGGTGGGAGGACCTACCTAGCGTGATACCATATTAGCGTAAGAAAGAATGACTAGGAAGAGATTGTACAAGGATATATAGTCTAAGTGTTGTACCTATATGAGCATGCACCTAGCTAGCCTATTGTTAAATTATATATTGTGTTATATAATTGGTAGGCTTGGTAGGTTATCGAACTTTACTGTAGAGGGTACAATCCCCCCCTTGTATGCCTCTCTCTTCCTAGTCTACCCCCTTTTCTCTTCTCAACTTTCTCATTGTGAAAGCTTGCTTGAGTCATCTTGGCAAAGGCAGCGTGCTTCATTTCATATGGGCAGCGTGCTTCATTTCATATGGGCAGCGTGCTTCATTTCATATGAGATTGCGTACATGGTTCTCGTCCAATAGACTACGCCTACAAATAGGGTGGGTGGGTGGGGAAAACGAAACTGGAACTAGAAATGAAGAACGTGGATGAGGTCGAATGGCCTCACGTCCCTCTTTTGTAGGCAAAAGATGGTGAGTAGCGCTTCGACGCTGTCCTTGCTGCGTTGGCCCTCGCTACACTTTCACAATACACATTTTTTATACAGCGTTACACGCTTTCAAAAAATTACATATTGTGAAAGCTTGCTTGGGTCATCTTGGCAAAGGCAGCGTGCTTCATTTCATATGGGTCTTCTGAGGCATGTGTAGCAGGGGCTGGCGATGTCGCTTGATAGACAACTGGTGGTGACTGGGCGATGGAGCGGCGGAAGCGTCTTGGATGCGCGTGGACGCCGCAAGGAGCTGGTCCTGCGCAATGGTGACGTAGAGATCTTTGGCCATATCGTTGTGCCAGCAACCGAGTCATTTGAAGAGCCGGTCGGGGATCCCCAAGTTAGCTGCCGCTGTTGCTGCACCCTT